AATGAAAAGATAAATGAAATTACCAAAGAAGAAAGACGTCTTCATAAAGTAAACTTCATTGCAGCAACAGTAACTTGCACAAAATGTATGGAAGATGATCAATTATGGCGTGCGCCTCTCAAACAAAATGGAAAGAGTTGTATAATCTGCGGAAATAATCGATCAATCACATTTTCCCACCGACCATTTACTCAAACAACAACCGATCAGCAAATCGTCACACCAAACCCTCTAAAAGAATTTATTGATTGGATTCTATTTAAACTCAACCCCCAATATACAACTATGGCTTTTTCACACAATGGAGGGCGCTATGATATGATTATGGTCTTCAAAGAAGTTTATTCAAAAGGAGTTGTTCCATCAATGATTCGTCGTGGTAATAAACTTTACGAACTGAAAATTCCCCGCAACAACAAATGCAATGAAGTAATATTTCGAGATTCTTTTAATCTCTGCCCTGTCGCCTTGGGGAAGTTAGTTGGCGCATTTGGGCTTCAAATCACTGAAAAACAATTTTTCCCACATTTGGCAAATATTCCCGAAAATTACAATAAAATATTACCACAACTGCCTTCAAAATCTGATTACCTTTATGGAGGAATGTCAACTGAAAAACAAAATGAATTTGACAAATGGTATGAAGAAGAGAAAAATAAACAATTTTACCTGGATGAAGCCTTGGCCGAATATTGCACAAACGATGTCCAAATACTCACAGAAGCACTGATTGCATTCAGGAAAAAATTCACAGAGATTAGCAAGCCAAAAAATGACAAGTCTGGGTCAGCAGGAGAAGGAATTGATATCTTGAAGGATGCAATGACAATAGCATCGGCCTGCATGAAACATTTTCGGCTTAATCACCTTCAGCCTGACCATTTGGCAATTGTTCCGGAGAAAGGATATGAAAACATTGATAATCAAAGTGAGCTTGCCCTAAAATATTTACAATGGTACGAAGAAACAAAAGGAGCGGAAATTCAAAGTGCACATTCGGAAGGTGGGGAATTTGTAGTGGCTGGAAAATATAAAGTTGATGGGTACATTGTGGCTGAAGATAGGGCAATTGAAGTGAATGGTTGTGTCTGGCACGGGTGCCAAAAATGCTTTGGAGATGACTTGGACAAAATATTACCAAATGGAAAAACTGTGGGAGAGACACGTGAAGATGATGGAAAAAGATTGGAAGTTATTAGAAAATTTATAAAAAATGTTGATATAATATGGGAGTGTGAAATTCACCAGATGCTTCGACGCAATCAGAAAATGAGGAAGACTTTCGCAAATTACCACAACAAAGGACCAATCAATATTAGAGACTGCTATTTTGGTGGAAGGACTGGGCCATTGCAAATGTACTTTGACGCAGAAAAAGAACAACATAAAATTGCCTACTTAGACTTTAATTCGCTTTACCCCTCAACAATTGCTACAACATCATTTCCGGTTGGGCATCCGAAAGTGCATGTTGTACCGCTAGCTGAACAAAAAGTTTATTGGACAAGAAGTGACCAGATCCCGTTCAAAGGAATTTTGAAAGTATTTTTGCTACCCCCGCCTCAACTGGACGTTCCTGTTATCCCAGTCAAGTTTGATGAACGACTTCTTTTCCCACTATGTAGAAAATGCTCACTCACATACCCAAATGGCGCAAACATCAAAGACTACCGATGTCCACACAATGACGAAGAGAGAGGGTGGGTTTCAACTTGTACATCGATTGAATTGGAAGAAGCATTAAAAGTTGGGTACACAGTTACAAGATTTTATAGAGCCTTGCATTATGACAAATGGGATGAAAATTTATTCAAAAATTATGTGGCCGAATTTATGGCAATGAAGATCCATGCTAGCGGGTTCCCTGAAGGAATAGAAGGAGAAGAATGTGAAGATGATTTCATAAAAGAATGCAAAGAAAAATTTGGTATTGAACTTCAAAAAGAAAAAATGGTTCCAGACAAGGCAATGCGCTACATTTCAAAACTAATGTTGAACTCTCTGTGGGGAAGATTCAGTCTGAGGAATACCTTGTCAAAAACTGTGATTACAGATGCACCAGATGAACTTCGAGAATATTATTACAACAAATCAATTGAATTGCAATCTGTAGATAAATTAACCGAAGAGACAGTAATAATAACCTACAAACCAAAAGATGAATTCATAATTGAACATGACACCTCAAATATTGTCATATCATTATGGACAACGTCGGCAGCAAGAATAAGACTATTGAAAGCAATGCAAAAGGTTACCGGGAAACTTGACTGCAATCTGCTCTATGGGGACACTGACAGTATATTATTCTCTTACCCAAAGAACATGGAATGTCCGCTTCAAACTGGTCCCCATCTGGGTGATTTGGCAAGGGAATATGCAGGATCTGAGATAAAAGAATATGTTGGAGGAGCGTGCAAGGCTTATGCACTGAGAATGGAAAACAACAAAAACGCAAAAATCAGCACAGTTCTGAAAGTACGCGGCATCACTTTAACAGCTGATGTCTGCAAAATCCTCCACTTTGACACTTTCAAAGAGAGCGTACTTACTTATGCAAATGGGGGAGACGAAAATGAGGAAGATGATGATGAGGGAACAATTATGATCGAGAATCCAAACTTTATACGCCGCAGTGTGAAGGATGGAATGGTTTATTCAACTAAGATGAGTAAAATATTTAGACCAATAATACAAAAAGGGATAATTTCAAACCTCAAAATTGTACATTTCGGACAAAAATAATTTTTCACTTGTATTGTTATTTCCTAATATTTTTTATTGTACTTGTTAATTTCACATTAATTGTTTTAAATTGTATTTGAATTGTTGATAAAATTGTTAAATTATTAAGGTGTTTAATAAAATTTAAAGTTTATAAGATAGGATCAAGATAAGTTAAGGATTATAAGATTAAATCGATGCAAGCTTAAGGAATAGAAGATACAATTGCTGCAATGTTAAGGGTTAGAAGATACAATCCATGCAAAGTTAAGCAATGGAAGATGTAGTTTTTAGGGGTAAAAGTGCAAAGATAAGCATTGGAAGACACAATTGCAGCAAAGTTAAGAGATAGAAGATACAATTGATGCAAAGTTAAGGGAGAAAAGATAAAATTGATGCAAAGTTAAGAGAAATAACACAAATTTTCAGTAAAAAAGCTAAAAATGTGTTCCACACATTTTTCTTATTGGCGGGTGTAAGGGGGGTGTGTGCTTATTGGTGGGTGTAAGGGGGGTGTGTGCTCACTGGTTTAAGATGCAGGTATATATTTATATGTGTGGAATATACTGTATACACGCTCCTTATTGGTGGTGTATGAGGAAAATTCTCCTCATTGGGTAGGTTTGAGTATATAATCTCTGTTTGAATTGTAAGGGTGGTTGCTCATTGGTCGAATGCTCATTGGTCGAATACCTTGCTAAATTAACAATTTTAAAACAAAGACAAAATTAATCATTATTAAAAATAAAAAATGTTAAAGTTCTCGATTATATTATTAATTATTCCGTCCTTAGTGGCAGACACTTGGGACTCGAAACCCTGGAAGAGAAAAGAGTATGTGACAACATTATTTCGGAGGACACCGCTGCCTATATGGCGGAGAACACCGCCACCAATAATTCCTAGCAGAGATAAAAATACAACACTGGAAATACCTATATGGAGAAGAACACCACCCCCACTATTTCCTAGCAGAGAAAAAAATACACCAGTGGAAATACCAATATGGCGGAGAACACCGCCACCACTATTTCCTAACAGAGAAAAAAATACAACAGTGGAAATACCAATATGGAGGAGAACACCTCCCCCAATATTTCCTAACAGAGATGTAAATAATTTAGGAGAGATGAAAGATAAATCGTTCAATGAAACAGAAGTCGGAAAAATATGGGTTATAAAAGATATTTTTTATCTGAACAAGACAGATTTAGCCAGGCAAGCAGAAATAAAAAATATGGGGCGGTGGATTCTACGTTGGGATCTTTGGGACAAAAAGTTCAAATCTGGCAAATATAATAGAACAAACTACTTAATGTATTCGAGATGGCGATTTTTGTACGAACCTCCTATTTCTAACATTATCGATTTTTTCAGAAATTTGTAAAAATTTTTGTTTTCATTTTTTCAAGTAAAATTATAATAATGTAATTTTAATAAAATTTTCTCATAAATTAATCAAAAGATATCATAACATTGCGCTTTTCCCACTTGTTGGGGTTACCTTCTATTTCAATCCACAATATTCCTCGTCTGGATTTTCCATTAGTGGGCGTAGGTGTTAAGCTTCCGGAGGATATTGGAACACTATTGATACTAAGTGTTGATATTGACGAAGTCGCATGTGTGCGCCGATTATTATATGTTGAACAACTTATAGTTGAAGGGGGCGATGTAGGGGCAAAACATAAAAGCTCTAGCGGGTAGTATCTCTCACAAATTCCATTCTTTGTAATTGTTCTTTCGATAACACACTGATGAAACGGGTGTTGGAGTTTTATCTTATGGTGAGCAAAGAAATATGCCGCAACGGATATGTTGAACGGATAGCCTAAATCGCCGAAAGCTTTGATTAAATGAGACCCTGAAGTTGTAATTCCGTCACATCTAACTCTGCTTTTCATACCGTTCCTATCAGAATAATTTGTCTCTAGCCTCCCCTTTTCATTAATAAATTTTGCTATCAAGTCGGCATTTTCTTGATACATTAATCTATATCTCACCAAATAGCTCGGGCAGTTCAATTTTTTAGAAATCTCGTCCAAAACAGTGTTCATATTTTAGTGATTAATATAAATGATTAATTAAATGATCAATTAACTTAATGAATGATAAGTTTAAAAAAATTTTCCCTTTTATACGCAAAATTTGACCTTGAAAATTGGCAAGTATTACGAAATCTTAAAAATAGGCGTGGCTTGAGGAGTATATAAGGTGAAAAATTTCCCAACTTCTCATTCACTTCTTCATTCATTAAAATTTGCAGTTCAAATTACTAAATAAAAAATGAGCGGATTAAAAAAAGAGAAGATCCCCAAAATGGAATTACCTAATGAGCCAAAATTTGAGGAGGAAGAGATTATTGAGTTGGAAGTGGAAAAGGAAAAAGAAATAATCAATAAAGCAAAATCCCCTACCTCAAAAGTAGCTAATGGGAAGATTCAGAAGAATAATGGGATAAATCCGCGTATTCTGTGGAAACTTGTGCGCATCAAGGAAACCCCGCGGATAGAAATTAGAATTTGCAAGAAATGTGCCAATGCGCTTTATAACGATAAAAATAAATTTACTCAGAAGGAAAATGGGAATATTGGAATTTGCTTTGAGATTTGCGAAGCATGCGCGAAATTGAATATACAACTCAAGGACTTTGTTGCTGAATGGGATGAGAAGAATTTGCAGAACTTGAAAAAGTGATTAGTGATTAAATTTTTCATTAAAATTGTTATTTGTTTTTAGCTTAATTTCGTTAATTGTACTAATTTAACTTTAGATAAAATTTTTTGAATTTTTAACATTGGAATTTTTAATCATAGGACTCTAACTTTTCCGAAGGCCACGCCCATTTTCAGAGTATAAATACCGAAAAATTCCCAAGGATTAAACTTCCATTCAAAAATTGAATTCATTTATCAAATTTCTTAAAAATGTCAGTAATTGAGAATAATTGCCAGCTCTTGGAAAAAGTTATCCCCGAGGTTTTATTTACAGTTTCTTCTTCTGGTGTGACAATTTCGTCACCGCGGCTGATAACCGCACGTTTTGTGGAGTTTGACATGGGTGGGAAATGCAAAAGCTGCAGGGGAGAAAATGTGGACATTGATTTTATTGTTACTCCGAAGGATGTAACCCTATATTGCAACCGCCTAAAATCAGAGAAAGTAGTAATGTTCGATCATATTTATGAGATTCCACAACAATGTGTTTTTCGCGTAAAATCAAAAGGAAGGAATTTTAATATTTTTCACAAGGAACAAATCTGGAATGAAAAACAGTTCATCACCGGCAATGAACAAATGAGTGTCAAGGAATTTTTGGCAAAGTTTTCACAGAAGAATACTCAAGTGGAGAAAGAAGAAACAAGAGAAAATATAAAGAAAGATAAAGAAAATAAATTAGAAGAAAAAGATAATTCAATACCCCCTCTTAAACATTAATCATTTTTTACATTGTTATTTCCAGCAAACATTTTTAACCATGAATTACCATTTATTTTCCAATAAAGATTTAAAATTGAAGCTTCCATTTGGGTGTATTATTAGCGGTCCAAGTTCAACTGGTAAAAGTACATTTGTACGAAAATTAATTTCCTACTCTGATCAACTTATTGATCCTATCCCAAAATCTATTCTCTACTGCTATGGCGAATATAATTCTCTTGTTCCCGAACTACAGCGAGCCGGAGTCTCAGTTTATGCCGGAGTTCCCCCTGAGGATCTTATTAAGAAGCATGAACAACCCTCTCTAGTCATTCTTGATGACCTAATGTACTCCATTGACGAAAAATATTTATCGGAACTTTTCACAAAGAAATCTCATCATCTTAATTTTGGCATAATTTTCATCACCCAGAATCTCTTCGAGAAAAAACTTAAAATCGCACGTCAAAATTCTATGTATATTGTATTAACTCGCGCACCTAATAGTGCACTGGCCGTTAGAAATTTAGGAGTACAATTATTCCCAGGAAGATTAAATTATTTTCTCGACGCATATAGACAAGCTACAAGCACAAGTAATTATTCATACCTCTTTATCGATTTACACCCCTCATCAGATCCAACACTTAGACTAAGAACAAATATATTTAGAGACAAAGAATCAGAAGACCCCTACAATTCACCACCCATTATATTTTTACCCAAAAATTCCTCTAATTAAAAACCATGTCAACCAATATTAGTCAACTTGTCAAGGACAACTTACAATTTCTCAAACAACTTGCAAAAACACGCTCATTGACTAAAAGAAGGCGCCTTTTAAAGAGAGCTTCAATCGATCAATTACTTTCTCTCACTGAAATTTGTTTTAATATAGTACGCGATAAATTTAAATTAAATAAAAGACAAAAATCTCGCCTTCTTCCATTCGCTAATTTTGTTCGCCGTGTGAGTAGATTAAAATCAGAAAGAGGAGCCAAACGTACAGTAATACAGCAAGGAAGTGGTTTACCAATAGGATTGTTTCCCGCACTTCTAACCCCAATTATTATTGAGCTAACAAAGACATTGACAAGCAGTTAATAAAATGGCAAATAAATTTATATTAATTCCTGAGGATATATATCGCGGCTTACTTACTAACCCCTTACCAGAAACTGGAAATATCAACTTGGATTTTACACGAGAAAATTTGGAAAATATCAAAAGGCAAAATGCAGACACAGAATTAAAGAATATAAATTATAACCAGGAATTGAGACGGTATTTACACTTGTTGAAAGATCAAAATGAGAGACCGATGAATGTTTCAGTGCGCCAAATGGAAGACCCAGCGCTAGAGCAAATCAAAAAATTACTTCCACTACTCCAGACAAGCTCCAATGAAAACCGTCAAGTAGCCGTAACCCCCCAAAAAGCTTTTAAGCAAAATATTGCCACAGCAAAATTATCCCCGTTAAATGAAGGTGGAGATTTAAATGAGGATGATCTTAGTATGCACACGGCCGGGGAGGAATCTCCGGATTCCACGAGGAAAACGGAGCCAAAGAAGGCAACAATAAGAGAAAAAACAAAGGAAATTTTTGAAAATATGAAACAGGAAAATCTAGATAAATATGATGTGAGCACAGATGGAAAGATTTTAAGTAAGAAGGGTGGAAAAGAAATACAGGGAAGCAATGCACAAAAATCTCTAGAGTGCATTCTCCGGACAGGAATCAGTGGGAAATTGAGATGGGGAGAGTTGACACCACCGGGAACATCAGTTTTAGAAAGTAAATTAAAAAGTGATAATAAAATTTGGCCGTTGATAGAGAAGGCAAGAGAAAGTTGTACTCCAAAAAGAACTAATACAAAGCAAAAAAGAAAAATACCTGAATCCAAAGAAATACCTGAATCAAAATGGAGAGCCCCAACAGAGTGGAAATGATATTAGATAAACTTTACAACGATCCAGCGAACCCGGCAGGGTTTGCTGGTGTAAACCAGCTATGGACAGAGGCTAGGAAAAAAGATGCGAGTATTAAAAAGAAGGATGTTGAGGAATATTTGGAAGGAAATAGAACTTATACAATTCACCGTCCTAGGCGTGTACACTTTAAACGATCAATAACAAATCCCGCAGGTTATATGACAGATGTTCAGTGCGACTTGGCAGATTTTCAAAAGTTATCGCGGCAAAATAATGGGAAAAATTATGCACTTGTGGCAATTGATGTTTTAAGCAAAAGAGTTTTCGCTGAACCTGTTCGCAGTAAAAAGTCAAATGATATGATTGATGCATTTGAAAAAATTTTGTCAAGAATGGAAATGCACCCCCACCGTATTTTTAGTGATAAAGGAACAGAATTCCGAAGCAAAGAAATTATGGATTTTTTCAGAGAAAAAGATATTGAAAAATACACGGCAACTTTCTCTGAAGTTAAAGCCTCTCTAGCTGAAAGATGTATTCGAAACATTAAACAGAGACTGTACAGGTTTATGAGTGAGAAGCATACATTAAAATGGACAGAAGCATTACCAAAGATTGTAGACGCAATAAATCATTCAAAGTGTAGGGTTTTAGGAGGATTAAGACCGGTTGATGTAAGCTTTAACAATGCAAAGGAAATCAGAGAAACTGTATTTGGCCCTATCGGTAAAAATAAGCTGAGAAAAAAGCCGCGATTTAGAGAAAATGATCATGTCCGTATGAGCAGAAGCAAAAATATTTTTTCCAAGGGGTATCTCCCAAATTTCAGTGATGAAATTCTTCAAATAGATCTAGTTAAAAAGAAGGCTAACCCCAACAGATACCGCGTCCGTGACGATAATGGGGAATTATTTAAAGGATACTTCTATCCTGAGGAATTGACCCGTGTGAGGAAGGATGAGAATACCAGCTACCGGATTGAAAAGATTATTAAGAGCAGAAAGAAAAAAGATGGAGGAAAAGAATTTTTTGTTAAATTTATCTCTCCCCATTTATTTTTAATTTTTATTTAATTAATATTTTTTAATTTTAATTTTTTAAGTTTACCGTAACCCGGACCCGGTCCCAATCAAATTACAGTCCTAAAATTCTCAGCTCGAAAATTTCAGTCCCGGACTGAAATTACCAGGATTAAAATTTTTAAAATTTAAAATTCCGCCAATTTGTATGGTAAAGTTGGCATTTTGTCAGTGTGGCATTTTGTCGTTTTGACATTTTGAAATTTGGGATTTTGTAATAATTGGGTAATTCCCCTTACATTCTGACTTCCGCTCATTTTTGAAAATCATTTTAATTTTTTTGTAAATTTTTGTACTTTTTATTTTCCCTCATTTTTATTTAATTATTTTTAATATTTTTTAATTTTATTTGAGCCGGTCCCCAACATATTTCAGATCCCTCCCCCAATTCCCTGTCAAAAATATTTCAGCCCCAGACTGGATCCTTGTACTTGTACCTTGCCACATGTCAATCAATCATAACCTGTCACTTGTAGTTGTACCTGTCAATCAATCAGAATCTTGTCACTTTTAGTTGTACCTGTCAATCAGAAACTGTCACTTATCACTCCGGGAGCCGAAGAATTTCCACACCATTTGGTTTCCGCCGCCATTTGTGGTGCGGGAGCCGAAGAGTACCCCAATCCCTTTGGTTTCCCTTTGTCTCGCCGCATTTCCCTCACCACTACTTGTACAAGGTACAAGTACAAGGAATTGTTGGTGTGGGAGGTGGAAACCTCCCACACCTTTTGGTTTCCCCTTTGACATGCCGCATTTCCCCGCACAAGTGAGGGGAAATTGATGGGGCGGGGGGTGGAAACCCCCTACACCCTTGGGTTTCCCTTTGATGTTGCCAAATTCCGCCTCCCATTTTGTGCACACCTGTGCACGGAATGGGGGGGGGGGGTAACTACTGCCCCATTACTTTCCGATCAAGCTAGAAATACAAATTATATGTTTTCAACCGGGCTTTCAGACCCCAAAAGCCGAGAACGAGGGTATTTACCAGGGCTAGGCGATTTCGCATTTTTTACATTTTTTGGCGCGAAAAGTTTCGCATTCCGCATTTCGCTTTTTATTTTTTGATTTCGCCCAGTCTGGTATTACCCCAACGAGTGTATATTTCCCGATACCAGGGCAGCAATTTGATAATGTCGAAATCCAATACTAAGCATTAGATTTCGACGTTAAACATGAATTCATTATAATCTTTCAATTTCTAACTTTTCAGCAATATATTTTAAAATTAAAAGTTAAATTTTATATACTTTGTAAACTAGCAATCTCTTCCCAATTTTGTAATTGATATTGAAAATAATTTTTCAGTAATTTATTTTCTTTATTAGTGGGTTGTTTTTTAGTTAATATATTTTCGTGCTTATTTACAATTTTTTCAATATTTTCATTATTTTGTTTTCTTTCAATTTCTAGCTTTTCAGCAATTTTTTCTTTCTTTTCTAATTTTTTCTGTTTCTTTCGATTGATTGACGTATCTTTTGAAACATTTTCTTGATCAACGCATATTTTTTTCTCTTAAGTAAGAGTAATTAGGTATTAAATAGATTTAATTTTGCCGCATTTTTGACATACACGTTAGAAATAATCGTTTTATATGTATAATTCGCTGATAAGCAGCGGATTCTTGGAAGCATCAGATATCAGAAATTCTTAGATCAAATTTTGATATAAGGGCAGAGTTAAATATTTAAATATGCAAAATACTAGGTAACCCTACCTGCTCTAAAAGATTATCAATCTTAGATAATAAAAATTTGGTACTATCGCATTATGCCGCCACATGTCATCAAATTTTTGTCCACAGGTTTTTCCTTCTTCTCCCATCATCTCTCTTCTCATAAAGATTAAAAGAAGGGTAAATGATTAATGATGGTCATTGATTAATTTAAGTCCTTTTGTTCTCCCCCTTTTTTTGTTTTTCAATTTTCGGGGGTCGGGTATCTCGATCTTCTGTTGTTCGCTTTATCTACGCATGGGCCTAGTTTCCTAATCAAATTTTGATAAAAGAGAAAAGTAAACTTATTTAAGCATTGACCGTTCTTTTAATCTTTATGGAAATAGAGAGGATGGGAGAGGATGGGAGATAAAAAATCTTTATGGAAAGAGAGAGGATGGGAGAGGATGGGAGATAAAATTCCTGAAAGGGTTCAACTAAAATCTAATTTATTTCACCTCCGAACTCCACCCCCCCCCCCCCCTCAATCTCTTTTTGACTCTTCCTTTTGTAGTAACGGCGGCATTTGTGTTATTTTTTATTTACATCATTTATTAGTTCAATTAATCATAGTGAGCAGAAAACCCCAAATTCTTACATGTTAAGCAAATTAAACGGGCTGTGGGGTATCGAGGGAAACGGCATTAGTACCAATTTTAATTAAATATTTGCTTAAATTAATATTCTATCTCGTTAATTGCGAATCGCAATAGAGATTTATCGATATCCCTTACGAGCTCCTCTAGTTTTTAAGATTTCAAAACGTTATGATTTCAATAATATTTACAAAAATATCATTTTCATCTTTCGGATAATCAAAATAAGCAAAATATTTTTGAAGAAAACTTTCGCCCATCCAATAATTAGAAAAAATCTTGTTCCAAATTGCAACAAAATTATTATTTAATTTATTTGCTTAAATTAAAATATTTTTAATAACCAATATAAATTCCTAACCTTGTTCAAAATGATCAAACCATTCTTTGTAAATAAAATATTCGATAATTGACTTAATTCGCCATTTTCCAACAATGTTTGATTTGAAATATTCATTGTAAAATTCGAAAAAATCAAAATTATTATCTAAAATTATAATATAACTAAGTAAATATTTTAAGTTGTGTTAATTGGCAGTGCCCTATTTATAACCAAATTTAAACTATGGTATATTCACAAATAATAATTACCCTGAGTAATTATTTCTTTAGGATCTGGTTGCGGTAATTATTTCAGTTTAAATTATACTAAATAAGAAAACAAAAATAAAATTGACTACTTAATTGACTACTTAATTAAAATATTTTTCAAATTTACATACATATTTATGTAACTAGGACCAAAATTTCTTTAAAATCTTTTAGAAATTTACCTGTATTCTTAAACAATTCTGTATATTTCATTCCTAGAACAAAGTAGAGTTTACTTCCAAAAATAGATTTTAAAATTCTCCCATATGCTAAATAATTGTCTTGATCATTCAATTTATGATTTCTATAATAAGATAAAAGGTTTTAAATGGAATACATAAATTAATTAGTTCGCCACAAGTAAAATTTTTTTAGGATTTTTGGTTCTACTGGAAACTAGATCGTTCAAAAAGAAAGAATATTTTATAAACTTAGAACAAACCCGGGGTTGCCCTAGATTTTTCTGATAATACTCGAATGTTTTTTATATATGTAAAACCTTGAAAATCCTGAGCCTCCGGATTTTATTTTCGGGAAAACCTTTTCACGGTCTCGGCCCATTTATGAACCGTAACACTTATACGGCTATAAGATATTTTTATTTATTATGCTTGGCATTTTTATGTTAACAATAATATTTATTTTCCTATATTAGGAAAGATTTATAAAATTATTCTTAGAGTAAAAAATAATAATTACAAAAGCATTTCTTTAAATGATGTTCTCTTCTCCATAATATATTTATCAAAAACCATAAACGCAATTTCATATATAATATTCGAATGTTTTTTTAATATTTCAGATATTTTATTATTATCTTTGCATATAATCTCTTCTTTTGTTTTATATTTTAAATTTTTAAATATATCATCGGAAGGAAATTTTAAAGCAATACTTTCTGCAAGTTTTCTTCTATTCTCTAATAGCATACAAAGTCCTGTTTTTCGTTCATGAAAATAAGCAAGTTGTCTATCAAGCATGCTACAATAAATTAAAATTATTATAACCAAGGCCATATTTGATTGTCGATCACGAGTATGATCGTCGAACATTGGGATCGAGAATTTTTCTATAGAGGAATTATTTGAAAATAGATTAAAATATTAAAATTATGAAATATTAAATGGCCATATTTAAATTATATTTACCTATTTTATTTATTAAAGGAAATGCTTAAATTAGTTGTAAAATAAAATTATATTTTTTAAATTAGTTGTAATATTTTTACTTTGCAAGTATGAAAAGAAAAACAAATAGACATCCAACTGGACATTTGTCCTATATTCTCCATATAATTTTATAAAATTAAAACTAACTAAAAATCTACTGGGCTTTCAGTTGATATTTTAAAAAATGCTGCCTCAGTAATTGTTAACATAAATATCTTTGATGCAACATTTATTTGACTTATTTTATTGGTTATTTTTGCTTTTGCAGTTTTTGGTATTTTTAATAAATCAGTGTATTGACGTTCAAGTACATTTTGCAAATTTTCAATATTCGTAGGATTAAATATAAAGTTAAATTCATGGTACCATCCTCTAATTTCTCAAAAATTTATTAATTTAGATAAGTGCCGTATATACTGTATTAATTACCCGGCCTAATTATTGTTTAATCCTTGTCTAGAGAGGGTAATTATAAGAGGCGATGTAATTAGTTTGAGGGAAACAATTATAAAATGACAATAAAGTAATGGGGCACTTTTCATTTCATCATAACTTTTATTCTACATATTTTACATTTTTTAATACTTTTATACTCATTTTGCAGCGCATTCAATTCTCTTTCAGGGCTTATAGGTCAGGTTCCAAAATTTAACCTTTTTCCGAAAGTTTGCATAAGGGGGTATAAGCGGCTAGTTAATACTGATTGAAGTAATATGAACAGATATCGGGCGATTCCACGAAATTAAACGTAAAAAATACAAGATATCTCTAATACTAGCCTCATCTACTGAACGCCTAAATATTCTACAAAAGTTTTTGCACATTTATCCACCCATTGAAAAGTTCAAAAGATCGTGTCTAACTGGGCAAGTTGTAAATGAAGGATTTTTTTTACTTTTTAATTGTTTTGCCTTAGAATTCCCGACTCCCACATCCCGCGTATTTCTTCTCCCGAGCGTCACTAATATATGATAAAGCTTATTTACTTTGAGTTGAAATTTGATGTTCAGTCATTGACAAAAACAGTAAAATGAAAATAAATTTGAACATAATTTATATGTAAAAAATAGTAAAGGTTGAAATTTATAAAAAATATTGTTGTTTTAATGAAAACAATAGACTTTTCGTTAGTTTTCCTTTATTTTTTAAAATGTAGTAAATGAAGTCAAAGCTTCAAATGATGAACACAACATAACTTTGTTCAACAAATTAACACAATAATTTAATTAAATTTAAAAATAATGATTTTTAAAGATTTTGAAAAAGCTATATGAGTTGGAAAATCAATGAAAATGGCTAGATAGCTATTAAAATCTATAAATATATATTTTTTTTATACATTCGACTCAGCTCGACGAGATTGATATATAATCAAAAGACTGGAAACTAATAAAAAAGAAAAATCATACAGCAAAGGAGAATGTTTCTACAAAATAGGAAAACTTTCGTGGGTACGTTGTTTCCTCCCCCCCCCAGTCCGCGTTTTAATTTAGAGTTCAGCGGTATCGGGATTTAGAGAAAAGGAATGCTGATCCCGATCCCAATCTCGGATCCCGACACGGGATCGGGATTAGCCGAAATCGGATTGGATTGAAAAATTGGGATTGTGCTCTTCTATTTTAAGCGCCGTAGGCAAAAATTTTGAAAAATTTGGAAGGCCAACGTGCCAGATTTCCTCCCTTTTAAGCGCCGCAGGCATTATTTTTTAATTTTTGAAAGCCAAGGGCATTCAAGTTTAAACGTTCAAGTTTATACGATTAAGTGCGTTACGTTCAAATGTGACGATTAAAAACTGAGATTGAGGGATTAAGTGATATATTCATTAGTAATATCTCTTAAGGCCTCGATTTCTCTTCAGAAATTTTTCTTACTTTCATGCCTCCCCTCTTCTGTTAACTTTATTTCACAGACTTCTAGTCAATTTATAAAGTCGGGATTTGCATCGGGATATGATGCACATTCCGATACCGATCCCTGCTCGGGATTGAGATTGGCCGGGATCGCGATTCGAAAAACCCGGGATAATCCCGCCCGATCCCGACCGGGATCCCAATCCCGGCCAACTCTATTAGAGATATAAATTTGAAATAAGCAAATATTGAAAAACAAAATTATGGAGGCACTCAACAAGAACATTATAACCAAGAATTTAATAAACAATTATTTCCTCAAAATAAACGGAAATATAACTAAAACATGCATATTAATACTCATTCAAATAATTATTTAAATCAAAATCAACACGACGAAATAAATATAAATAAAATAAATGCTCCGTTTCGAGTTATTTAATAAATCATCATCTAAATGATGCTATTTTTAATCATTTTTTAGAAACTTACAAAGATATTTTGGATCCCCAAGATTAGAAGATAACACTTAGCACTTTAGTTTCTACATTCATTACATAGATGCTACTAATTAACGAAAATATGTTAACATTTTCTGTTTTTGGGGATTACGCTCTAATTCATTTCTATTTTTGATAAAGATTTTTAAAATTCGAGCTTTTATAAATTAATCCCCTGTTTCTGAATTAATACATTTGCATCTAACTTTAAAAAATAATTTTCATTGATTTTTATTTTATTATTTTTGCATTTAATTTTATTTTCTAAAAAGAAATAAAAATTAATAAAAAAATATTTTATAAAAACAATTTTTTTGGATTAAATTAAACCACAAGGTTTCTCGTTATTTTTAGCCAAAAAACTAGAGTTGTACCCCGACCCCGTACCCCGAACCCCGACCCCGTTCCCGAACGATTTTTTCACGATTCTCCCCGACCCGAACCCCGCCCCGAAACATTTCGAAAACCCCGTACCCCGACCATAAAAGTTTCGGGGTTATCGGGGTTTTATACACCCAAAAAATGCCATTTTTGTGAGAATTTTAAGAGAAAAATTTTAAAAATTTCCTCACAATTTACTTTGCCTTTATTATTTTTGAAAGAAAAATGAATGAAATATCAAAATTTTCTTTTATTCTTAATTAAGAGACTTGTGGTTGAGTGGCTTAGTTGTTGGTTTTAGCCTATATTTCCATTAATATAGGATTGGGTTCGGATCCATAGAAGGAGAACTCTTTTGTTTTTATATTTCTTTACAAAAACAAATTATTAACGAGTTAAATTTTAATTTTAAAATATTAATTTTATTTTTAACTGATATCCCTTGAACGACCCTTAATCCTTCAAACCCCTTGTATCACCAGTAAGGGGTTCCCAACCATAACAGTTGGAAAACTATCGAGGTCCTGTTAACGGGAATCAGAGATATAAAGGAATTTGTAGTATATCGAAGAATTAAGGAGTTATAAAGGGATTTAAAGGGATATAAGGTTTAGATTAAAATGGATTTGAAAGAATTACGTGAATTTAACGGAATTAACAAGGATTTCGTGGGAGATTTAAGGATTAATCCAAGATATCTCCTGATATCCGTCCAAATACCCTTATCCGCAATACTTCAATATTCTTATTAATCACTGATATCTTTTGAAACAACAAAAATCACTCCAGATCACCTTGCACCCCTAGATATACCATTTAATCCCTAAAAATCCCGCTTAATCCCTCCATATCCACTTATATCCCAAGTTATACACTTTAATCCCTTCAAATCCCCTCTAATTTCTCCAAATCCTACTTAATTTTTGAATAAATTAGCGAAAATATACCGAGATCTGATTATTTTTGAGCATTTTTTTCTCTAAAAATTTTTTCACTAAAACCCCGTACCCCGACCCGAACCCCGGTCATATTTTGCTCCCCCGACCCGAACCCCGCCCCGAAACAATTGGAAAACCCCGTACCCCGACATACCCGCCCCCGAACGTTCGGGGTACAACCCTACAAAAAACGGAAATTACTATTTCATTATTATTCAATTCAAGTACGAATAATAAAAATTAATTTTTATTAGTTAAATTAATAGAAAAATATCCATCGTGATTTATGGCAAAATATGTACATATATAAATATTATTTTAAGCTAAACAAATGTTATTAATATTATCGAGATCGGAAAAATGTTTTCAGAGCGATAAATAATATTCAAGGAATAATATATATTTTATATATAATTAGTGATATTCACTGGACCGGATTCATTCGGAATTTTCCGTATTACGGTCCCTAGATTGGGTTTTTCTGCTATTTGGATTTTTTTCGGACAGGATTAATTGATAAAAATAATCAGGTTCCAATCCCAAAAATAGATTTTACCGCTTGCTAATAACAATATTAACATTATATAATTTTTAAGTTAAATTTCAAAAATTTCTTTTCGAGTTATTGGATTAAATAATTCCATGGGATTTTGAAAAAGTTTGGTCAAGAAGAAAGCTGGCTTTTCCAATGTATTACTTTTATTTTCTGCGTCACACTAAATATACTTCGGGCAGCTTAATTTAATAGGTCCTCTTACAAGGTTTTTTAAATTAAACCTTACATGGCTTTTTATTGTATATTCGGCAATGCTATTATGAATAAGGTTGCCAAGGATTATTTAACGAGAATCGAGATTGAATCTCGATAAATAAATAAAGTTTATAAAGTTTTTTTCTGTATTTTGTTTTCCGCTCTTTATGTAAATAATTTTTTTTGGATTAATGAATTATTTAAAATATCTCCTAAATTAACTTAACTACTTGTGCCTATTTATTAGAGCCCGGACCGATTCGATTTTTTATCGATATTTATCGATATTTTTCGATATTTTTTTTCGATATTTATCGAAAAAATATCGACCGAGAAAATTTTGACTTTTTCGATATTTTTCGATATTCGATATTTTTTCGATATTTATCGAAAAATATCGACCGACAAAATTTAAAAATCGAAACAATCGACCGACCAAATTACAAAAAATCGAAAAAAATATCGAACGTCATTTTTGACAAAAATATGAATTTTTGGCACAAAAAGGATGCATTTTTGCTTCTTGCCCATCGGAAATTCAAAAAATTTTCGCCGCGGCGCAAAAAATTTTGCAACTTGACCTTCCGAGATTCTCATAAGATTGTTAGAATATCCTATCTTGTCCCATTAAGTCATCATATTCCCTCGATACCCCTACAAAACACTGATATGAATTTAAAAAATTTCGGTAGATTAAGGGAGATTTCAGTGGGTTATGAGAAGATTTGGTGGGATATTTGAGATATCCAGGATCATGAGGATATTGTGGATATCCGGGATATTCGACTATTTGTATAACTAATAGAGGATTAAGTGGATAAAATGGATCTCAAGGATCAAGACGGACTTTGGGAGAGATGGATATCAAAACGGATATCAAATGCCAAGATTTTTTATCCTCTGATATCTCTTTATCCGCCGATATCTCTCTTAATCCACAAATCACTTGATATCCCTCATGATCTCATAAATCCACAATACAGTCTTAATACCTCTAAATCCATCGATACACACTCGTCCTTCAATATCCCCCTTAATTCCTTAAAATCCATTATCCCTAGTTAAAATCCACTTATATCCCACTTGATCCTTCGATATCAAATACAAGTCCATTGATATTACATTTAATCCGTCCAAATCCACCAATATCCCATTTAATCAATCTTAATCTTATTAAACTATTAGTTCTATCCTGTTATTCAGTGGTTATAGAAAAATTTTTGAAAAATCGAAAAATATCGAGACTTTTTTTTCGATATTTTTCGATTTCGATATTTTTCGATATTTATCGAAAAAATATCGACCGAGAAAATTTTGGTTTTTTCGATATTTTTCGATATTCGGTATTTTTCGATATTTATCGAAAAAATATCGACCGAGCCCTCCGTCCGGGCTCTACTATTTATTTACTTTTAAATGTCTAAAACTCTTTATAATCCAAATTCTACCACCAATTCCAACAAAACTCCAATTAAACGTCCGTTGACATCTCTTTCGCCCGAAATGCCAGCAAAAAGACAACAATTTCTGGATCAAATTGCTAATTTAAATTTAGACCCTATTCAAGAAGACCCCACAATATCAGACTCTGCCAAAACTATTATTTCACAACTCAATAACCTCTTAAAAACTGCTGGGTGTATAATCTCTGATATGGCTCAGAACCAACAAATTTCCCAGCAAAATATTGACAATTCTATTGCTGAAAAAGAAAGGAAACGGTCTGTTGTAATTTCGGGGCTCCCCTCCTCTACTCAAACATTACCATCAGCTAGAGCAAATGAAGATCGACAAAATGTCAATTGTATTCTCGATAAGTTGGGTATCGAGATTTGTCCACAATCTGTATATAGATTAGGCAAGGATCTCCCAACCCGTAAAGGTGCACCACCTCTTTTAAAAGTCGTTTTTCCGTCCTCATATTTTCAGACAACCACTCTTCGAAATTGGTCTAAACAACGCAACAATATTAAACAATCTCCAATATTCCGGAATCTGGGCATTAGAGAATCTATGACATTGGAAGAACGCACCAATCGTAAAAAATTGCAGGCTGAATGTGCACAAAAAAGGTCCGTAGATAAAGGTGATTGGATTATCTATGCAAATACAATCATACTTCGCGAAAATATTCCCAATTTCCGAAAATCTCTCCCATAGGATAATTTAGGGATTCAACACTATTTAAAGGAAAAAAATAAACTTTTATATAAATCAAAAATACAACAAAATTCCCAAATAACTAGTATTTTTAATTCTAACAGAACAAATGCTAATACTTATAATAAGGTTAAACAAACTCATAATAAACTTAAAGGCGTTCTAATTAATAGCAGATCCCTCATTAACAAAATTACTGAATTTAAGAATTTTATATCACTAAATCGATTTGATATAATTTGTGTCACAGAAACTTGGATACAGGATAATATTATGCTTTCTAATGAACTAAATGTTAAAGGAAAATACTCTGTTTTTATTTGTAACCGATCCTCTCTAAAGAAAAAAAAAGGGAGGAGGGGTAGCTATTTTAACACTAAATCCAATAAAAGCAGCAGAAGTCTATACCCAAACACAATTTGGTTACGAACTAATCATTATTGACATCATCAGAAAAGGTTACCCAAACACACGCCTTATATTAATATACTTTCCGCCAAACTTAACAAAAAACTCTAACGAAAAATTAATAAAAACACTCACAAAATACTATACACCTAACACTATCATTTGTGGCGATCTAAACAAACCTAAAATCAATTGGAACACACATTCTTGTTCAGTTGCCATGGACGAGTTATTTTTAGATTTTATAACTAACTATGGATTTAATCAGCTTATTAAAGATCCAACGCACATTTCTGGCTCTACTCTTGACTTAATCATAACTAACCAAAATAAATTAGTCGATAATATCCAAATTAAAGATGGGTTTTCAACTTCTGACCATTTCCGCATAGACTTTGAGATCGATATAACAAAAGAACCGACACAAAATAACAATTATCGTGCTTTTAGTAAAGCCAACATTAACCAAATAAAACCAATTTTAGCTTATAACTTTTACCTAATGGAAATAATCCCAAACATATCTAACTCTGTTAGCGCCAAATTCGATAACTTTTTCAAACTTGTTCAATCAATAATTGAAGAAAATATTCCTGTTTCGCACAACAAATCCCAATTAGGCCTCAAATACCCTGTCTATATACAAAAAGCAATTCGAGATAAATATAAACTTTTCAAGCAACTTAAACAAAACCCCACACTAAGAGTCGAATACAATAAAATGTCGAATAAAATTAAATACTTAATCAGAAATTATTTAAATAAATCCATGTCCAGAATTTCCAATAATAAAGATTTGATAAATAAACACATAAAAACATCCATAAAATCTAAGCAAACTATCCCAGTACTTATCAGTAACAATGAATACATAATAGAAGATGCAAAAAAATGTAAGCTTTTGCAACCTATTTTTCCGAATTATTTAAAAACATACCCAATAACCATCAAAAACTAACATTCACTACAGCTTGTAAAAACACACTAGAGGACATAGATTTTGACATAATAACTATTGCCAACACACTTAAAGCACTTCCTAACAAAAACTCATCCACGCAAGATGATATCCCTTACAAAATCTTTAAAAATCTTCATGACATAGTTGCTCCTAGCTTATGTGAAATCTTCCGTATTTCTTTAGATACTGGGGAAATTTCAGAAAAATGGAAACACTCAACAATTATACCTATATTCAAAAATGGAAACAGATCAGACCTTAAAAATTATCGACCTATATCACTAACCTCTACTACTTGTAGAATTTTTGAAAAAATAATCTATTCAGAAGTGATGAAATTCTTAATCGAGAACGATTTACTGTCTAAAAATCAATTCGGTTTCCTACCCAAGCGTTCCACGGTAACACAACTAATACTCACTCTTAACAAATGGTATGAGGGCCTACTCCATAAGAAAAATATAGATGTAATATACATCGATTTACAAAAAGCATTCGATAAGGTTCCCACACAACACCTACTAAACAAACTATATGCGTACGGAATCAGAGGTAAAATACACAGATGGATAAGCAATTTTCTTACAAACCGTACTTTTGCTGTGCGAATAAATAACGAAGAGTCAAGCGTATTTCCAACATTATCAGGAGTTCCCCAGGGATCGATTTTAGCACCTTTATTGTTTACAATATATATAAATGACCTCCCGTCAAAATTAGGAGAAAATATATTTGCATCGCTATATGCCGATGACATTAAAATCACCCATATTTACAACACACAAAATACTAACATGCAGGAAAATATCGATATCCTTTACTCATGGGCGATAGATTCGGGTCTAAATATATCACTTAATAAATCCTTTATATTCAATCTAGGTAATAAAAACCCAAAAATACCATACAATATCCTAGACCATGAGTTACAACATGTCGAAGTAATAAAAGATCTAGGCATACTTATAGACAATAAATTAACCTTCAAAAAACATATAAAAAACATATGCAAACTTGGATTCTTAAGATCCCACCAAATACTACGAAATATTCATACATCCGATCCTAAAATATGGGGTAATCTTTTTAAAACATATATTCTCCCTACACTAGAATACGGGTCCCCTATATGGAACCCAATGTCTAAGGAATTAACTAAAGATATAGAAAAGGTGCAAAAGTTCTTTACTAAGTCAGCCCTTTTGAAATGCAGAAGAAAATATCTTAAATACACGGACAGACTAAAATTATTTCAACTCGAAACCCTACAATTCAGAAGGTATTATATAGACGTGATAACAATGTATAAGATACTATTTAACCATACCAGTTTAAACCCCGAAGAGCTATTCACATTAAATACACGTCCAAGTAGAAAGCATGATTTTATCATTCAAGTCTCAAATAAGAATGCCAAAACAATCAATTCTTTCATTAACCGGACAGTAAATATTTGGAATCTAATCCCAAGAAATATATTCATAGGGCATACATTAAATAGTTTTAAAATTAATTTAAAACATAGCCTACCGCAAATTCTGTTAAAATTAAAAATACTACCTTAAATTCAACAAACCAAATTTCAAACCTAATCACTGAAGAATCCCTGAATTAATCCCATAATTTGACTAAAAGTATGGGTATATTGCCCTTAACTTATTTACAATTTCACCTAGCAATTTAATGAGCGTTTTAACCTTTTCTTCACTCATCATGTTTTTTTAATTTACGCCTTTTCCACACCCCCCCCCCCCCAAATACATATACAGGGTGCGTAAAAAGTTCCCGGAATTAATCAAAATGGATTTATTTTGTTGTATATCATAATAAAAATAAGTTTACACATACAAAACGTTTATAAGGATCATGTAAATAAATAATCATAACAAATTTTCAAAATGAGATCCGACAGCCGAGATAAACGCAACCAAACACAGAAGAAAAATTCCTTCGTTGGTCGCGCAACCCTCTTCTGTTATTGATCCCCAGGAATATTTTAATGCCGTCCTAAGCGGCTCTGTTGACGTGTGTCGTGTGCAGGGGAGTCTCTGCTACAACATAGATCAGACCGAAAATCCATTGGATTGAGAACCGGTGAGTTACAGGGCCAAATATCCTTTCCCCAAAATCCATGAAACAACTTTGCATTGAGGTTAATTGTTGTTTTAGATCCATGTGCTGGTACCAAGTCCTGTTGTAAAATAAAATCTTTTTCACCAAAATGTTGATGCTTCCAGGGAAGTAAAACATTCATCAAAATTTCATTTTGATAGACATAAGCATTGATTTTGACGTTTTTGGCGATAAAAACCAACAGTGTCTTCCAATGGCACAAATTCCTCCCCGAATCATCACAGATTGCGTGAAAAGTCTTTTTTACACACCAATTAGTCTCACGGACTTATTGGTGACAGTTTCTGATATTGTGACAGCGTTGGACGGTAAAAATTTTCATTTAAGTAAACAACACCCGTTTAGCCGACCAGCTGCGACCAAGCGCTTCAAAAAACGACATTTTTGGGGGAGTTTTGAGAGGACTTTTTGACATCTATTCTCTGAAAATTTTTTATAGACTAAATGTTTTCTGAACCAAAAATAGTGCTGAATATGATTGTGAACGAATTTTGTTTTAATAATCAATGTTTAAACCCAATAGTTGAAATTTTAAAAATTCCGGGAACTTTTTACGCACCCTGTATTTGTCAATCCATTTATTTTTTAGTTAGTTCACATATTTTTCAACAATTTATTTTTTATCAATACATTTATATTTTTTTAAGTTTACATACTTTTTTTTTACAATCACATATACAAATATTTTTTTCTCTCTCCCTTTTTAAACAAAAGTTAATTTAAATAAACACATTTTTAAGCAAAAATTTAAAATATCTCCTAAATTAACTTAACTACTTGTGCCTATTTATTTACTTTTAAATGTCTAAAACTCTTTATAATCCAAACTCCACATTTATTTGTACACACTCAACCATTTTAGTGGTATATTGTATACCCTTTGGTCTGAATAAAATTTATTTATTTATTTATTTTTTTCTGTATTTTGTTTTCCGCTCTTTATGTAAATAATTTTTTTTGGATTAATGAATTATTCTATGGATGGGTTTGCCAAAACAAAATAAGGTTTGCACGTGCTATTATCATGCTAACTTTGTGTATTTACTATTTATTTTCATAAATTAATTTAATTTATGAATATATTCAAAAAATACTAAATCAATTCAAAATTTATTATTCAAAAAATTGAAAATTATTTTAATTAAATAATTAAATAAAATGCTTGCAAAAGTGTTGATAATTATTTCAATCTTGTTATTTTTGACTAAGGAAAATAATGGATGTGTAGGCCTTGGTGGAGGTAAATTAAAACTGCTAAAATAGTTTTTTCTATAATTAAGTCAAGACCAGGGCATGACGCGATTGCGGACTGCGAATTGAGTTTTGACTTACTTTTTTTCAATTGCGTCCAGCACTGCTCAAGACCCGGGTCTTCCATAAAGTGAAGTCATGTGTATTAATCACTACTCCACGGCAGTGCTATTCTCGAATAATTACCCTCACTTAAACCTCACTTTCCCTACAGAGAGATGTTAGTACAATAATTATCCTTGATAATTAATTGAGCAGATATGTTAGATATTTAATTATAAGTTGTATTTAAAAATATCCCGCCTACCCGTCACTAGCGTTCGGGGTGCAACGCTAATCAATAGCCATGTGAAGCTACCGTTTATTAGTTTTAAGGATATGGACAAAATATTAAATATATATCGTGATTTTTTTTATTTTAAAGTATGTGATGTACAACAATGCTGCGCTAAGAGTCATTTTAAATCTAAATTACAATGTTGCACATTTGGTTTGCCTTGTGATCTTTATACCTGTTGTGTTAGTAATGGGGGTTTGTAAAAAATTATTTAAACTTTTTATTATTTATTTTATTCAATTAGAGCTTTATTCATTTAAAAATAATATTTGTAATTTGATATTTAAATTTTTAACGATTTTTTATTTGAAGAGAAAGTGGAGAAAAAAGAACAATGTTGCACACATTATCTCAAAAATGGCAAATGTTTTGGTAATGATAAAAATTGAAGAAATAATTGGAAGTGATAATTTTTAAATTCATTTTTGAATTTAAAAAAAAATTTAACTTTAGATAATATTAATTTATGCTATTTTGATTTCCGATTTTCGAATTTTTCTTATGTATAATTTCGATTTTCATTGGAACATAAGTTTACATGAACATGTGTGCAACAGGGATGTCACGGGTTGAGAAAAATGTCGGGTCGGGTTTCGGGTCGGGTTTCCAAAATTTTTCTCGGATCGGGTTTCGGGTTGAGCAAAAATTCGGGTCGGGTTTCGGATCGGGTTTTCAAAATTTTCTTCGGATCGGGTTTCGGGTCGAAAAAAGCCAAAATTTTGAGAATTTTGGAAGGCCAAAAAGCCAAAAATCTTCCCTTCTCATCGCCGCAGGCGAAAATTTTGAGAATTCTTGAAGGTCCGAAGCCAGATTTCTTCCTTTTTCAGCGCCGCAGGCGAAAATTTTCAGAATTTTGGAAGATCATTAAGCTAAAAATCTTCCCTTTTTCTGCGACGCGGGCGAAAATTTTGAGAAAACTCGGGTCGGGTTTCGGGTCGGGTTTTGAAAAATAAAAATTCTCGGGTCGGGTTTCGGGTCGGGTTTTAGAGAATTTCTCGGATCGGGTTTCGGGTATCGGGTCGAAAAAAAGACCGGGTTTCGGGTTTCGGGTAACCCGTGACATCCCTGGTGTGCAATTTATTTATAGATATTTAGTTTTGAACAGGAAAGTTTATAAAAATTTTCCTGTGTAAAAATTTTTTTCATAAATATAAAAAAATTTTTCTTAAATGAAACTTAAAAGGAATATGAAAATTAATTCTCGTCGCTATTTATTTATGTTATCCAGTGGTGAGCGCAAGAGACAATCTCAAAAAATGCAAAACGCAACGCAATGCCAAAATTTAACGCAAATAATTTTTGTTTTTGTTTCTCCAAAATTTAATAAAGTTTATCTGTAATAAAACATTTAAAAATTTTCAAGGACGCGTGAATTGTTAACTTAATTTTTTTATTCACTATCATTGTTAAAATATGTGTTAAAATATGTTGTTATAAATATTTATAATATCTGCCTTGTAAAAGAAAATAAAAATTGTCAGAAATTTGATGGAGACTTCTTTGTTCTTTTCTTTATCATTTCATTTAAACATTGAAATTTTTCCATTTTTGCCGTTATGTTTTCTATATTTTTATTAATTTTTTAAAAATTATTTTAATTTTTAATTACTTAAACCATTGAGACAATCTATTAAAATTTTTTTGTATCCATTGTATATTTGTTTGAATAACTTCTAAACGTTGTTTAAAAACATCCAAATTCCTTTAAAAATTAAAGAAAAATATTCTAACATTTTTTTTAATTACATTGTAGTTTTTTCATTTTCACGAAGAAAGTTCTCTACTTGGTCAATAACTCTTTGGGATTTGCCAACAATTGATGAAGAAATAATTTTAGATAATAAGAATGGCTCGTCTTTAAAACTTAAAAAATGTTTTGGCATATTTATTTTAATTAAAATATAATGTGTAGGTTGTCGGTTTCATCAAATTCTTCGGGTAACAGAAATAGAACTGACAAACAGAACCGAAAATCTTAGGTTTTTCGGTTTGGTTCGGTTTGAAACCGACAACTCTAGGTATAGCCATTATCTTCAAATTTTTACAAAACGTTTTTTAGTTACAAATTTTACAAATTTTTCTTAAAATGTCAGTTCTAATAATTGTCAAGGATTAATTTAATTTATATAGGGCAGTTAATATAATTATGGCGTCGATTTTAATCAAATTTGTGTTTTAAATTTGATTTTAAATCAATACTTTAAAAACCCTATGAAACCATTAAATTTTTACAATTAAAGAATATTCTAGTAACAAACAAAATTTGTGTAAATGACCATGAAATCATCTTAATCATTGTAAACTAATTATCCTTGAATATTTTTAATCTATATGCGAGAAGAAAGAAGGAAAATACATTACTATAAAAAAATATTTCATACCCTTGATAAATTTTTGGCCATTTATCAATAAAAAAATCCAAAATAATTTTCTTCCCAATAATTCTATCTCCAATATATTTAAAAACAAGAGGTTTATCTTGTAAACGAATATTTGTATTATTAACATCAATTGCCATTGTAAGAAGCCTTAAAAAATTAATTTTTTGATTGACGTTTAAATAGTATTTAAAAAAATAATTTAATAATTTTTTTTACATTTTTAATGAATGTGTATCTCTAGAACAAGTCAATGCATTAAGTAAACGTTCTTTTTCTACTTGAACATTTTCATTTTTAAATAATTCAAAAATTAAATTCCAATCTTGTTCTGTTCCATAATGTACACCTTCACAATATATTAACGTTCTAAAGGGTACAGGAACTTTAGAACATTGACTAGCCATTTTATTTGGAAATTTTGGATGAGAATATAATCTAAAAATAAAAGTAGTACATATATACATATTTTAATATACTTCTAATTTAAATAAAAATTATAATTCTTAATTTATAATAATTATTTAATAACTAATAATTTCTTTATATTAATATTTGTCAAATGATGAATTTTAAAATATTAAAAATATGATATTTTTTAAAATTTTTTAAAGAATTTTTTTTTATTTTTTATATGCCTGGATGTGATATTTGAGCGAATGAAAGTTAATTGTCTTTAACTGTTTCTATTCGATTTATTTTGATTAATTATTCTGATTATTTATCTGGGGATAATTTTTATTTATTTTTATAAATAGTAACTTAAATAATTCCGAGGAAAGTTATATTTTATAATATTAATTTACAATGCATTATTGTCATTTTCTTCATTTGCAACAAATGAATTACAAGAATTAACTAATTGATGTTGATAAATATTGAGAATAGCATTAATACAACGTTGGTCTCTTAAATTACACATCTCTTGAATAATTCGTTGATTAAGTAAACTTTTAATTGATAAATTATATATTTTATTTGTTTATTGTACATACTTATTAAAAAAGTCTTTATCTCCATCTTCTGGTTTCCAATTATAAATTTTATCCAATTCTCGATTAAATATATCATCAATTAATAATTTAATATAAGCCTAAATTTATGAATATATTTGAAAAAAATTTTTTTTTAATTAAATAGTGTATTAAATGAAAAATAATTAAAAAATAATTTTTTTAATTAAAAGATTTTTCTTTTCATAGAAAGAAAAATTTTTTGGTGGACCTATACTAAAGCGACCCCACAATTACTCCACTTTTATTTGTTACCCTCTCCAGCGATAGGTTCAAACAATAATTGCCGCCCATCAAATGCTCTAAATAACCATCAAATTTTAAGCCTTGTATAGGTAATTACCCTCCATCGATTAATTACTCCAGCCAGCTGAAGGTCGAAACAATATACAAAATATACGGTTGGGATCGCGCCGTCATAAAAAATTAACCTCCAGTTTTCGGGATCAGAAATTACCGAATTCTTTCAACTAGACCTCTGAACTGGGCTAGCTATTCTACTAATTCGGCGCCTGTGATCGAACCAGCAATTTTAGTTCCACAGTCCGGTCTCTATTATAAAAATACAAACCCTTAAATCTTCAGTTTCAGGTTCATCGTCAAAATAATTTTGTATTACATTAAAATTAGATAATGCTATTTCCCAAGGAGGATATTCTTCTTCTTTAGTTAAATATTGAGTTAAATTTAATGCATCCTTTTAAACGTTATTTTTTAGAATAAAAATTTTATTACATACTTCATAAGGTAAATATCCACTTTCAGCTAATTTAAATGAATCATCAATAATACGTACACGGCTAGCCATTAAAAGTTCCTTTTTTAATCATAAATAAATATATAATTTACAAAAATTACTTTATGATTATCAAATAATTGCTGACTAATTTGTTTCATTTGATCAGAAGAATATAAAACTCTATAAAATCCTTGTGAATGGGGATTTAAAACAAGTAGATCATCAACAATTGTTACCATTTCGGTAAAATCTTTTAACCAAAACATGGGTTGATCGGTACCATTAATACTCAACCAAATTGGAATATCCCAATTATTAACTTTTTCGTATTCTCCTATTTCATTTTTCTTATTATTATTATCCTCTGAGTTAAATCGAAAGCGTTGTTGAGTTAACAAAACTTTTTTTGGAGATATTCTTTTTACCTAAAATAAATAATTTTTAAATATAGAATTTTTTTAATTTAAAAATTTGCCTCTACAACAGGAAAACCTGATTGTTCAGTCCAATATTTAGCAAAATATTTAACATTTAAAGGTTGTCCGTTACCATCATGCAGATTTTTAGGAACTGCTTCTGTTAAGGCGTTCCAAAGATCAGTATGGTTAGCATTTTGATATTTAAATTGATTTAGGTATATCTACATAATTTTTTTATTAAAATATGTATTTAGCAGTTATATCAATTAAGCAGGTTTTCTATGTCATTTTTCCACAAAGTATCGTATATGATAATGTAAGATGACTAAATTTCAATAGTCCCTTATCGATTTTATGATATAAGTGATTTGAAGGGATATCATGGATATAAATGAATTTAATATATCCAAATCCCAAATCTAAACCAGTACAATTTAATTTTGACTGGGAGATCTCTTTTTAACTGCCAGATTCTTTCTTAATTATATTAATTTCTTAAAATCCAGTTGAAAAAATGTTTTTTGTATAATTACTATTTACTTTTAGACCGCTTTTAAAGCTTTGTTCACCCATCACAGCACCTATCATTCTTAATATACTTGCTCCTTTCTGGTATGTTATCGAATCAAAAACTTTAGTAAAATCATCTTTCGTTCGTATCTCAAGGATTATCGGATGAGAAGTTGCCTTAGAATCAGCATCAAAAGCAGTGTCCAAATATCTAATAATGAAATAATCCCTCATTTGAAATTTTCCATTGCTGATTGCATCTGTACCCAAATATTCCTTAGAAAATTCTATTCTAAATTTAAAATATAAAATTTACAATCAAAGAAGCGAATCCTTCGTTAAGAAATAAATCATTCCACCAACTCATCGTAACTAAATTGCCAAACCATTGATGAGCTAATTCATGTGCAATAATTGAAGTAACAAGCAATTTTTGCTGAATAGTACATAATTCTGGGCTATAGAGAAGATATTTTTCAAGATATGTGACCTGAAATTGTATATGATTTTCTAGAAAAATTTTGATTTCATATATTATTGGTAGAGCTATGGATTTTATGCATTAAAAAATGCAAAATATGCACTATAATATGCATAAAAAATTGCCGAAATATGCACGAAAATATGCAAGAAACCCAAAATATCCGGGCAAATATGCATGAAAAATACAATTTTTTATTAAGATTACTACAAGTTTATATGTTTTGTTCAACAAATTGAGTATTTTTACTCTGTTGGACATTTTTAGATGAGGCGTTTTGCGGTGTGACATTTTGGGGTTGGACATTTTTGGGTCTCGTCCAAAAAACAAAAAAATTTTACAAAATTCTTAATTTTACAAAATTTTTCCAAAATTTCTACAAAATTTTCACTTTTTGGCAGGATTTTAGGCAATTTTGCAATATTTTCCCCAAAAACCTCAAAATATGCAGCAAAATATGCATTATGCAGCAAAGTCTGAAATATACAAAAATATGCATTATATGCAAATAGAAACCCCCTCTGAAGTTTTCAAAACAAGCTAAAACAGTGTTTTTTGTGCTTTATACATGATGCCAAGTTTGCAAAAAAATATGCATTTGCATAAAAATCAAAGCTCTAATTATTGGAGTCAAAAATTAACTCTATATATTATTATTATAAAAATAAATTATAAAGAATTATTAATACCAATCCCCAATTTTCTGTTCCTCCAGCACCCGCATCAGGAACTGCAACCATATCCAATTTAGGAATTGGAAACTCAATTCCAAAGTAATCTTCATAAAATTCCAAAACTTTAATTCCAGATTCTAAAGCATAATTAGTAAAAGTTAAAGCATCTTGACGTGCCCATACACGAAACTAAAAATATTATCATTTTTGAAAAACAATATTAATAAACTCGTATTCCACGTTTTGTATATCCTTCAATATAATTAAAATCAGAGACTACTAAGGCTAACAAATATGAAGACATTGGAGGTGTCTCATCAAAATCAGTTTGAATTAGGGTTGCGCCCCGACCCCGACTAACCCCGACCCCGACCCCGAACCCCGACATTTTTTGACCTAAAACCCCGACCCCGACCCCGACATTCCCAACCCCGAAAACCCCGACCCCCGAAAGTTCGACCCCGACGACCCCGAACCCCGAAAAATTTTTATGCCCCCGACTCAAACTGCATTAATTAACAAGAGATCGGAACGGGATCGGGACTTTGATGTTAAATATATGAAGGAAAAGGGAAAGGAATATTTATATTTTCTCCTATTTCCTTTTGTTGGTCGGTGGTTGTGAGGTTAGGTTAACTGACTTCACCCATTTAGCTATTTTGATAGGGATGTTGTTCGAATCCATGGATGGGAATGAGGCTGAGAAGATTTTTCTTCTCAAAAATAAATATTTTTAAACTTTGATCTTGATTTTAAATTTGCAACTTTATTTTTTTTTAATATTTTAAACTTGAAACAATATTAGAAATATTAAACTAGTCATGAATTTTCCAAAATTTTTGCCTGCGGCGCAGAAAATGGAAGAAATCTGGCTCTTGACCTTCCAAATTTCTCAAAATTTTTGCCTGCGGCGCAGAAAATGGAAGAAATCTGGCTCTTGACCTTCCAAAATTCTCAAAGTTTTTGCCTGCGGCGCTAGACTCAATGAATGGATACAGAGGCTTTAGGACAATCCCTTTACATAAGAGGGGGAGTAAGAGTTATTTTGTGGGTTTGGGGATTTTCGGGATTATAATAAGGATTTTCGGGATTTTCGGGATCTAATACAAGCATTGGGCTTATATTTTCGATGGGTTTCTTTTGTTGTAGGGCCGGGCGTATATAAGATCATTTACGGTATATATCAATAGACTATAACTATTAATTTAAGTCAAATTTCAAATTAAAAAATTAGAAAAAAACAAATGATGTATGACAGAAGACAACGTGATGTATCTATCATTAAAATTAAGCTTTACAGAAGCTAAAATTTGCAGTCGAAATATATACGTAATTAAATTACCTTTTCGTTATCTTCATCTATTCTAATTCTAATAACTTTTAATGGTTTTGATTTAATTTCATTATTTACTTCTTTTACTCTAATTAATTTATATTTTTCAAGATTTTGATGATCAAAAATAAGTTTTAAAGCATTTAATTCTATTCTATCTGTATTTTTTTCAACTCGAAATTTCATAAGTAAATTAGCGTCAAATGTAAGATTGTTTGCGTCAGACATTTGTGCATCAAAACCGGGAACATAAATTTGCATCGTTAAATTATACCAAATTGGGTAAAGCTAAAAGAATTTTTTTAATTAGAAAAATAGAAATACCTCTCCAGAAAGGCGTAATACTTCCGTCGCTTTTTCATGTTTAATATTTTCAACAAGCTTTCCTATTTTTGGTAATTTTGTTTCTATAATAATATCATTAATTTATAAACTTTCACTAATATTATTACTGTCAGTAAAAGTAATTTTTCCTTCGGTATAGTTTTCCAACAAAACATTATTTATAACAAAAAATGTAAAAAGAATAGCAGCGATCATCATTAAATTAAAAATTAGTAGAAAATATTTTTCTTTAATTAAAGGAAATTTTTTAAAGTTAATAATTATCTAAAGTTTGAATTTGGTTCTGTAAGAGTTCTCGGTGTTCGGAAACTATACTCACATGGTATGGAACCAGTCATTACCTATCTGATAGATTCCTGAAAGTTATGTTTTCTGAAGAATTTTAAAAAGTGGCTATACATATGTAGCTCAAAATTTATAGTTATGTTAAAAAAAGTTATGTAACCGTTATCTAACCCAATAGCAACTTTGAAGCACTAAGAAAAATTAATTTTTAAAATAAATTTAATTTGGACGGACAAATTAATTTCGACTGCTATATAAATATATATTTTATAGCGTACTTCCAATATCTTATCTTTGAATAATTTAATTTTTTAAAGAATTTTGTTATCATAATACCTATATAGAACAAATAATGTATTTATTCAATAAACAATAAAATACATCTTATTTCTATGTAATTAAAACATTAGTCATAAATTAAGTAGAAATTTGGGGTTAGGGGTGGAAATTTTATAGAAGACACACCTCTTTATATTTATAAACCATTCGCTGATATTATCAAATTTCAAATAAACATAAACAAATTTTAACTTTTATCTTTTTTTTTAAATATGAGTAAGTGTTATGAGTAAGAGTTTGCCTCAAGTAAAGCAAAGCAAACTTAAAGCATAGCAAAGCACAATCAAAGCAAAGCACAAACAAAATTGAACTGGTTTCAGTTCACTATCAATCGGTTCAGCCTTGGAAATAACTATAGTTCAGTTCAGAAACAAATATTTATTCAGAGCGTTAAAAGTTTATAATTATTTTATATTGAATTCAAAATAAGTTAAAGAGTTAAATTGCGGGGGAGTATTTATAGGGATTCTTACACAAACATAAATTGTTATTGAGAATAGCTAGGTCAAAAATTAATTATATAAAAGTGAATAACAAAATATATGATAAGGGGTTTTGGGTAAATATTTAGTCGGGAAAAATCCTAAATGCTTTTATGACATGGAAGGTCAAGAGTTTATCGGAGTTTATCATTTAATTATTTATTTCTATATTTCTTGGGAAAGGGCCATTTTTAGTTTGTTTGTTTGGTTAATTAGAGAGATGCAGCATCCCTTCCCTCTTTAAAAAGTCTATCAGTGATGATGACCGCCGCGAGGACGAAAACGTTTGCCAGAATTATTGCCACGGTGATTGTGTTGGTGACAGCGACAGTGACCGGACTGACGTTTCTCCTGTCGTGCTGCATAGAAGTAACGGGCTCGCTCGCGATTGTGACCGCGGTTATAGTAATTATTACGAGTACCACGTTGGCCACCAATCTCATTCCGGCCATTTTGATTTTCGTTTTGGTCAATCTGGGGGTTTGGGGATAATTCATTGTTATTATTATTTTCTCCCATATTTACCTGGATTTCAGGCTCTGGGGTGCCTCCCAGAGTCAATTCTTCCAAACTTTTGTTAGTAACAATTTCGTCTAGTTTCTCAGCAATTTTTATTATGCTGGCGGCCTGGTCGTTAATATTAGTTTCCATGTCTTTTAAACTCTCTTTTACAATTTTTTCAATGGTGGCAACAATTGAATCATGGAATTTTGGCAAAAGTTGCTTAATATATGCCTTTGTATTTTCGTGGCTTTCTTTAATAGTTTCAACAATAAATTTTTTGTTCTCCACTTTGGATGTGGGGTAAGTTTTAGTTTCTATTCCTTCCATAGCAGACTCCGACATTAAAAAATATTTTTAAAATTTAGAGGATGAAGCAATAATTTAAATAAATAGATTAGCTAAAATAAAAGATTAATTACTGAAAATGAGGGGGAGAAGTGGTTAACATATTGAAAAAATTTAAATAAAGGGGAATAATATAAAAATTTATTTTTACAAAGTATGTACACTCTTTTTTTTAAATTTTTACTCTTGATGAAGTTTTTGTGTGATGGGTCGAGAGGATGAACGGCGACTTTTTATATGGTCCAGGTGAATCATTTTCTCTTCCTCATTTATTTTGACGGCAAACATTCTATCTCCTATCAGTTGTATAATCGTTCCAGGTAGCCATTCTTTGTTTACCCACGCCCAAACAAGATCTCCATTTGAAAATGTTGGTGCTTTTCTCGGCGAGACTATTGTTTGTTTTCTTACGGTATGTCCTATTTTTCCCTGCCGGCGTCTCAGCTTATCAATTTGTGTATTCATTTCTCTTTTAAACATTCGGTGTGCCGGTGAATCTCCTATTTTAGGGATGGGTGTTGACCTATATTCTTTTAGGAATATTTTTATGGCTTCTTTTATTTCATATTTTTCTTCTAATAACTTTTTTAGTCCCTTTTTAAATGTTTGAACAGCTTTTTCGGCACATCCGTTAGAGGATGGGTGATAAATTGGGCTTGTCAGATGTTCAACTCCTTGCTCTATGAGAAAATTTTCTGTCTCCGTAGAGCAAAACTGTGTCCCATTATCTGTTATCAGGGTTTTTGGGTTGCCAAACAAACAAAATATGTCATTAAATGTTGATATTATTACTTTTGAAGTAATATTGTTTATTTGAAATGCCCAAATATATCTAGTGTATGCGTCTACTACTATTAAAAAATTTGTATTCCAAATAGGGCCTGCTAGGTCAGCATGGATTCTTTCCATGGGAAAACTCGCAATTGGCCATTTATTTTTTGGGTTTGATTTTGGTGGTTTATTTGAATTTCTTTGACATATCTCACACGCTTTTATGTAATTTTCTATGTCTTTTCCAAAATTAGGCCACCACAATAATTTTCTGCCTCTACATTTAGTTTTTTCGATACCAAAATGGGCTTTATGTAGGAGGTTTAATATTGGCTTTTTTAGACTCTCGGGGATAACAATTTGTGCTAAATTTTTCATAATTATATTACCTTCACAATATAATTCATCCTTTATTTTATAAAAGGGTTTTAATTCTTCATCTCCCGTTTCCTCATAATTTAACCAATTTTCTTTTATATTTTTCAAAATTATTTTTAGGTTTTTGTCTTTTAATGTTTCTATTTCGATTGTATTTCTATTTAAAGTTATTTCTTCTCCATTTAATATATATGGGATTTCTTCTCGGAAGTATTTTTCTTTTATTTTATTCCAATCTATTGCTGAATCTATTTTTACGCGCGACAATGCATCGGCCAATGAATTATTTTTGCCTTCTATATAACAAATTTTTGGGTTTATTTCTTGTATTTCCATTAGCCAGCGATTTAATTTTGCATTAACTTGGGCCTTTTCAAAAAGAAAGATTAGAGGTTTATGGTCTGTCATGATTAGGAGTTCAGACCCGTAGATTATAGGTCTAAATATATTCAGTGAGTGTACTATGGCGGCAAGTTCGCCATGTGTTGCTGGGTAATTGGATTCTGTCTTATTTAGAGTTTTACTGCAATAAGCTATGGCGCTTATTTTTTCATATTTTTTCTGCATTAATGCGCCAGCCCATGCAATATTTGACGCATCTGTATATAATATAAACGGGTAATTATAATCTGGTGGTGCGAGGCACGGTGGCTTTAATAACTCAGATTTTAATTTTTCAAAAGCTTGCTTCTGTTCCTCTTTCCATTCAAAATTTTCTTTTCCTCTCAAAAGTTTAGAAATTGGGGAAGCTTTTTCTGCAAAATTCCTTATAAATTTGCGGAAGAAGCCAACAAGTCCTAGGAATTGTTTAATTTGTTTACAAGTTTTTGGCTCAGGGAACTTTTTTATAATTTCGATATTTGAAGTTGCTGGTTTATATCCACTTTCATTTAAAATATGCCCTAAATAATTTATTGAATTTTTACAAAACTCGCATTTGCGGAAATTTAATTTTAGATTGTATTTATTCAGGCGCGAAAAAATAATTTCCAGAATTTTTAAATGCTCCTCCAATTGATTATGATAGATAATTATATCATCTATATATGCTATACAATTTGGGATACCTGTGAGCAATTCGTCCATAGTCCTCTGAAATATAGCTGGGCTATTTTTTAGACCGAATGGCAGTTTTAGCATTTCAAAAATTCCCTTTTCAGTTATAATACCACATTTATAGGTGCTTTCTGGATCCAACGGAATTTGCCAAAATCCGGATCTTAGATCAAGCGTGGTATAATATTTGTGACCAGAAATTTTATGTAATATTGTCTCCATTTTTGGTAGGGGGTATGGGTCAGTAATTGTTATTTTGTTCAATGCTCTAAAATCCACGCATGGTCGCAATTTATTATCAGCTTTCCTCACTAAGACCACTGGAGAAACCCAAGGAGTATTTGATTTTTTAATTACTCCTATTTTTAACATTTCTTCCAAATGTCTATTTAATTCTGTTTGATATTTTTCTGGGACTCGGTAAGGGCGACTTGTAACCGGAATTTCAGTATTTGTTAAAATTGGCGGGGCTATAATTTTACATTCCCCTAAATCATATTCGTGTTTTGAAAAAATTTCTTTATTTTTATTAAGACTGATTTTTAATTTTTCTTGCTCCTCCATAGTCAGATTTGAGCTTAAATTTATATTTTCTGTTTCAATTTTATAGCAGTATTTTTGTCCTGCATTATTAATTAATTGAGCCTTTTTAAAATCGAGATAAAGCGGGAGTTTTCTTAATGTATTTCTACCAATTATAACGTCATATTTGCCTGTAGTGCTTATTTCGTTTTCTAATATAACAATTGACGTGTATATCTCACAACCAGCGATTTTAAATTTAACTTCTACTTGACCAATAGTAGGTACTATTTTTTCTCCAATCCCTATTATGGCGTTTATTTCAGGGGAGTAAATTTTATTAATTTTTAAGTTTTCTGCCGTCTTTTTACCTAGCAATGATATGTGTGCTCCCGTATCTAATAGACAGGTTATTTCTTGACCGTTTATTTCACAATTTATTCGAAAACCATCATCGCATTGATTAGAAAAACAAGCGGCAATTTCAGCTATTTGTTTAATATCCACACTCGGCCAACGTTCAATTAATGGGGGGACCGGTTTATCCTTTTCTGCCATCTCAATTTCTTTAATTTCACGCCTTTTATTTTGGTAATTTTGCTTTAATTTTGTTAAACGATTATATGGCGTGCTTAAATTAATTATGAGGTTAAGGTATTGTATCAGTGCAGGTGGCAATAGTAATTGTATGGCAATAGAAGCTGTAACATAGCAACAAACAAAAAATATCCAGATTTGATTAAAAGATGGTATTCCACCTCTTAAAAATGAAAATAAGCCACTAGATACTATGTTTCCTGCGACTAATTCCGTTTTGCCATTTGATTCCCTCCAGGCACTGCTGCTGGGTCTAGTTAAACGCATTATTTCCTGACTAATTTCTGCTGCTTCTAAAGTTTCATTAAAATGTTCCGGTGAATATAACTCGGATAGATTGGCCAAAATTTTATTCCTAAAAATAGTTATTCCAATTTCGGGAAAATCTAAGCTTCCAAAACGGGCTAATGTGAAAATTGATTCAATTGGGATTTCATGTTCGTCTCCATTTATTTGGTTATATTGTATTATTTTTCCATTCATTTCAACGAAATGGGATTTAGCTGTTGCACATTCTATTTCTTTTGCTTCAGGGTATATAATTAAATTATTGGAATCTAGAAATCCATGTTTTTGTATCTCAAAAAGTTTAAAACTAATTGGTATTCTATTGAAACAACGGCCATTTTTCCAATTATAATGTATATCTCTAAAGTTTATAGGAAAGCAAGGTTTTATTTCCAACGTCCTATCTGTCACTAATCTCGCAGAAATAAATTTATTTTTCATAAAATGTCTAGCGAGAAGAGTGGGATTTGCAATAGCTAAGCTCAATGTTTGGTCTACTATTGATTGTAAGCTAGTACAAATTTGATGAGTGGATTCGGCAAATAAACGTTGTGTGTTATAGGTTATTTTTGCGCTAAGGGCAGTCATTTGCGCTGCGAGTTGCTGTGAATATACTATGCCAACATCTCTTTTAAATCTTTTTATTTCTTTATGTTCTTTTTCACTTTTCATTATCATTTCGTTATATTCATTTACAGGAACTGAGAAACCTTGATCTGAAATTGCATATTGCGTTCCCTCACAATCATTTTTAATTGTGGCATTTTCGAAACTAAGGGCAAATTCACTACTCTGGGTTATCCAAATTCTAGTTGAATATTCGCCTTCCCATCGGGCAACAAATATGAATGAGCATTGCTGCGATTTTTCCGGTTGCCAAATAAGGCTTCCTTGTGCACAGCGGCATGAACCCGAAGTGTAAAGGCAGCCTGGGCAAGTTCCTAAAGGTGTTGATACACCGCTCATTCCGTGGCGAGTAAAAATTACAGAGTCAAATGCGTAACAATTTGTTACTTCTTCTGTATACCACATGAGGCTAAAGGGCCAAATTCGCCATTCTTTTTCCAAAGTATTATTGGTTGCCTTAAAGGTGTTATTTCCATACATTTCTCCAGCAGGTGAATGAAAGAGGCTATGCATTCTATGGCAGGTTGAGGTTGGAATTTCAATATTTTCAGTATCTATAGTTTCGTATTTTGAGCCAAAAATTCCCATTCTTCGATTTATTATTGTTTTTACACATTTACAGACGGTTGTGGCCGTCTTATACTGTAGTGTATTTGCTCGGTATATAGATAAAGGCATCTGTACAGGCGGTTCCGTAGTTTTCCAATGTGGGCAGATAGGTTCTTCTGGTAATTTCCATAAACTACTAGGCGAATCAGCGAGGCAAATCATTGGGCTTTGTGGTCCATGGCTAGCTGTTGCAGGGCAAATTAGAGCAATAAGCGCCAAAAGTGCCAAGAAATAAGGACTTGCAATCCTTGGGCTAGCATTTATAGGACTCGCCGTACGACTCTCGCTAAACCTTACTCTTTTAGAATTAGAGTGTCCACTATAATCATTTCTAAAGTTACTCCGGTTTGGGCTACGGTAATTATTATATGAGCTTCTATTATTCCATTTTCCTCTATTAGAATTATTTCTATAATTTTGTGAATTTTCCCTATAATTATTATTGTATCTATTATTTCTTTGTTCATATCTATCCTTTTTATAGTCATTTTTGTATTCGCGAGGTCTATAATTATTTCTCGAACGATTTCGGCAATCTGCGATTACATGACCAGGTTTGTGGCAATAATAACATAAACGTCTATTATCCTTGGAGTTATTGATTGCTAAAGCTTCTACTTTCTCCGCTAATTCAACAAATTGATTATTTTGGTAATTGGGGCGTTTTTCAGCTAATAATAATTCAAAGTGTTCAGCTATTTCGAAAGCTTTAGAATAGTCCTCAGGGCGGGAAGCTTTAACTTCAAATTGTAATTCCGGTAAAAGCCGATCTAGGAATTCATCGAGCAGGCGTTGCTGTATTATATTCTCCTCATATCCTATCATTACGGCACGGACTGCATCGTTCAAACGTTGGGCAAATGCAAAGACTCTTTCGCCAGGAGCCTGTTTTACTATAGAGAGAGCTTGGCGCGCTACTGTTCGCGAATGTCCATTCACAAACCTTTCTTGCAAGAAATTTATGGCTTCTTGAAGAGTTTCAGGTTGTGGAATTACTGAATCCATTTCGGCGCGAGCTCGTCCTCCTAAACAAACTTTAAGACGATGTAATTTCTGAGCCTCAGTAAGCGGGGTTATTATTAAATTTATTGCGTCTAAGAATCGTTGCGACCATCGAGAGAATGAAATGGTTGGGTTTCCATCAAAAATTCCTACTGGTGTTCCCAAAACATTCAAAAATGGGTCTCCAACCATAATTTCGCAGTTTTCATCCCAATTAATTTTTTCATACTCTTCTGCATTTTTTTCCAACGATTTGGGTTTTTCAGTGTTATTTTTCTTTGGGTCATTTGATTTATCCACTCCGGCACTATCCCAGGAAAAACCAGATGTACGAGACGCGTTTTCGAGAACTTCGACTTTTGCTTCGATGCTTTCAATTTTTTCAATAATTATATGCGCATTTTTGTTTATTTTTTCAAAAATATTTTTATCTATTGTTTTAAATTTATCTTCAACGTTTATCATTCCCTCCTCTAAAATGTCTAAACGTTGGATGTGCATTATCTGCTCTTTTTCTAACTCCATATTTTTAGAGCGTAAAAATACCATTTCATTATTTATACCTTTATTTCTCAATTCTTCATCAAATTCGTTTATTTTCATTTTTGAAATTTCAGTATCTATCCCTAAATGAGTTATTTCATCATTTACAAATTTTTCAAGAATTTTAAATTGATTTTCCATAATTTTTAATTTTTCTTCTATTAAAGGATTATTTTCAGATGAGGACGAAGTTATTGGTAAAACTTGTCCATCTTTTATTCTTGCTTCAAGTTTTCTAAAAGATTTACAAACAGCTTCTTCAAAGCTTCGGAGACGAAATAAAAGATTATACCAATGTCTGCCTTCTTCTGGCGTAAAAAATTTAGCCGCGAAGTCAGATCCAGTTGGTTTAGGGCGGTTATCCATTTCTAATATACTCCAAAAAATATTTTCAGGAGCAGGAAAGCCCTTATATTCTTTTTCACTAAGCGGAAAGTCCAGTTTTTATTTAGGAATGCACCCAGCAATTTCCTATATTAACGAGCACAAAGCTGGCGGATTGAGCACCTAGCAGTCAACCGCGTTGAAAAAAAAATCTTTAAATCACTCAAGGCTTTTAACCCGGATATAGTGGCACCAAAATGAACTGGTTTCAGTTCACTATCAATCGGTTCAGCCTTGGAAATAACTATAGTTCAGTTCAGAAACAAATATTTATTCAGAGCGTTAAAAGTTTATAATTATTTTATATTGAATTCAAAATAAGTTAAAGAGTTAAATTGCGGGGGAGTATTTATAGGGATTCTTACACAAACATAAATTGTTATTGAGAATAGCTAGGTCAAAAATTAATTATATAAAAGTGAATAACAAAATATATGATAAGGGGTTTTGGGTAAATATTTAGTCGGGAAAAATCCTAAATGCTTTTATGACATGGAAGGTCAAGAGTTTATCGGAGTTTATCATTTAATTATTTATTTCTATATTTCTTGGGAAAGGGCCATTTTTAGTTTGTTTGTTTGGTTAATTAGAGAGATGCAGCAAAAATCTACAAAGAAATGATAAATTTTTTACACATTGCCTTACACCAAATAACAAATACATATAAATGAAAATTGACCATTCCGAGGCACCTTAAAAATTAAGCAGGCACTTCACCAGGCACTTCATTCAAGTCTGATCTATCTTTTAATTAAAAATAAGTATGCAGTATTTCAAATTTGTTTTTACTGCAAGTTTTTCTATCATCATATGAGAAATTTAATTTTAAAAAATTTATTTATCGCCTAAAACATTTGAAGATAACATAGGGAAACATTCAACGTCAGAACATTTTAGGTGGTTTTTGTACTTTGCTATTTGTGATAGGGAAATCCCTCACAAAATAGGAGTTTTCTCGTCTTATCTTAAGAAAACTCTCGACCAAAAAGTATTTATCTGATAGTGGTATGAATTATTTATTATAAACATAAAGTGGAGTGAGTTTTATTTACTTAAAATTTATTTACTTATTAAAAATTAGCTGACCTTAAATAATCTTTTAGCGAATGAATTTCTTTATTTACTAATTTTTTCCTTTAAAAATAAATTCTTATAAAAATGTCGAATGGTAATGATATATCACTTTATAAAAATAATTCAAATATTCCAAAATTAATAACAATACCAAAGCTACATCAAATGAAGAAGGAAGGTATTCCTATTGTTTCATTAACTGCTTATGATTATTCAATGGGAAAAGAAGTAAATTTAATTAATTATTTTAAAAATATTGTGGCCATAATTACCCATTTCTACATGTTATAAAAATTTCCTAAACTTAGAAAAATTAAATTAAATAAAAATATTTTCATTTATGTATATCTGGAATGTCATTACCCAAAACCCAAACTTTTTTTCGAACGAGACCCGATCCGAGGAATCTTCCAAAGTGCGAAACCGATCCAATTTTCCCCGCTTAAAAAACTCGGACATTTTTTGAATTTATTACTGATTTGAAGTAAATTTTAATAACCCAACCTTTTCTAAACCCGTGACATCCCTTGTGTATATGGCATTATTATTTAATAAAATTAGTTCACTATATTATTTTTTAAAATATTTTAGTACTTTTCGTATTTTAAAGCTTTCAATTTTTAATCCTATTATAAGTATTTATCATTTTTTAAATATTAAATAAATAGATGGATCAGGCAGGAGTTGATGTTATCTTAATCGGAGATTCACTTGGTTGTGTTATACAAGGAAAACAAAATACTTTATCCGTTAGTCTTGAAAATATTATATATCACACAAAAATTGTCTCAAAAGGAATTAAAAGAGCTTTATTAGTTGCTGATTTGCCTTTTTCTGTAAGTTTTTTTTATTCATGTCCTGTTTTGTGGACTATAGTTTTGCAGACCCGTACATTGGACCCCAAATTTGCGAAAAAAATGTTGCAGACACCGAACGTTGAATTATCAACGTTCGTTGCGCATTTTTATTATGTAACTAAGAAATAAAATAAATATTTTAGTGTTCTTATAGTGTTGAAAAAGTCATTGAATCATCTGTTTCTTTACTTACTAACGCTGGGGCAACAGCAGTTAAATTAGAAATACCTTCGAATTCTGATTTACATTTAAAAATGCTAAGAGAACTTAATTCTTTGTCTATTCCTGTTTTTGCACATATCGGATTAACTCCACAATCTGTACATTCACTCGGTTATACATACATATTATTTAATTCTTTTAATTAAGTCAAATACTCAGGAAATAATAAATCCGTGATCCAATTAAAAATATTAATGTAATCAACATAAGGGGGAATAATAAATAAAATAACAAGTAGTCTACCGTATAAAGTTTATGGATCTAGGAAAAAAGGATAAAATCTAGGCATTGCACAACCGATTGAATGTAAGGTTAGAAATGGATTAATATATGTAGTTGGAACATATGTATTATATCAAAGAATAATAAAAGTTACATTGCAAATTGTATTTTATAATTATAAATATTTATTGTATGATTCTAAATATTTGGATATGCCTTACAATATTTATTTAATTTAAGGTGGTTATCAAGTTCAAGGAAATTCAAAATCCAAAAGAACTGCAGAAGAATTATTAGAATTGGCTATTCAGGTAGAAAAATGTGGAGCAGCTGCTGTTGTTCTTGAATGTGTTCCTAAAGATTTGGCAAAACAAATCACAGATTCCTTAAAAGTTCCAACAATTGGAATTGGTGCTGGTATTCATTGTGATGGACAGATTCTTGTTGTAAATATTTTTAAATTATTTTTTATTTAAATAATTTTGCTATTGTGCCATCTCACTCATTTTATTCTTCTCCTTCTTTCTCAAAAAAATAATCCGTATGTAGGTAAAATTTACATATGTACTGTTAATAATCTTATGCGGGTAAGTAGGGCTAACAATTCACACAAAAGATGCATGGGAATATTGCGAACAGATTTGCATTGATACTAAATGCAAAAGCTGGTGACTGACAATATACATAATTCACTTTGACGCATCTATACTTTTTTGGAGAAGGAAAAAGAATAATGCAGTGATATACCACAATATACCAATTTTTCTTAGGTTTATGATCTTCTTGGAATTGGAGACAAACCTCCAAAATTTGTCAAAAATTTTTTAAAGGATCAAAATTCTATTCAAAATGCTTTTATTTCTTACGTTAAAGAGGTACGTGAAAGAATGTTTCCTGAAGAAAAACATTCTTATCATTAAAATAATTTTCAATAAAAACATTTCTTTAATAAATATAAAATTTTTAATGTGTTAAAAATTTTAGCATTTAATTCACTACAAGTTTAAATAAAAATACATAGTTTTAACGGGAAAAATAAAAAAAAATTTTATTTAATTTGTTTGTTAAAACTATTTAATATAGGAATTATTTTGTGTTCTCCGAACAAATTAATGTTGTAATTTGTGTAAAATAATTGAAATTAACGAATTACTTTAAAAAATATTTTATTTTTAAACATTTTGCTATTTTTGCTTGATTACTCTCAATTTAAAATTGATAATTTAATTATATCTTATAAAATAAGAATATATTTTCGAATCTCCATAGACCTTCAATATCCGAAAACCTTGGATTCCCAAAGTTTTTTATGTTTCGTAATTCAGATTTACTGTAAACATGAATTGAATAAAATTTAGGAAACCAGAAATTGTGAATGCATTTTTTAATTATGCATGATCCCTGATACATATAATTTTTTTAAAACTAGTGCAATGAACATATCAAATCCGAGATTATTAACGTGATCAAGTTGGGAAAGCACGGAAAAAAAGCATTCTTTAGAAAGCTTGTAAATCATTGTAATCAAAGATTAAGGCCTGTGATTCTAGGAAGAGATTTTTAAAATTTCGTATACATAGTATTTTTTTTCTGATACACTCTAGTTAAAACACTAAAAAGCATTACTCTTAGAAACCATATCTACAAAACCGAGAGGATTTATAATTTCTTAACATACATTTTTTGAGAGAAACTTGATAAACACCTTATAAATAAATTTCTAAGAGAGAGATTAATATATAAAAAATTTAAATGAATTGAACAATTTGAACATTAAAAATCAGAAAAATAGTTTAATAACTTAAATTTTTAAATTACCTATATTTTTTATTTATTTTAATTAAAATATTTGAGTAAATTTTGTAATTTCCTTAAACAACATTCTAAATTATTTTTAACAAACATTTGTCTTTAAACACTTTGTAGTTTATATTTTTCTTTAAATTTTTCGCAAAAAAATTCTTAAATTATATTTTATTTTATTTGATAAATTTGTAATAACCCAATTATTTCTTTGCTTTATTTTTTGCAGTTTTTTATTAAATTTTCCTTTTTAAACAAATAATTCTAGTATTATTTAATTAAATATTTGAAATAATTAATGGCTGGTGTATTTTACATTTTTAAATTATTATTATTTAATATCATTTTAATATTTTTATTTTCAATAATTTTAATCGTTCAAGCTACAATTTCAAAAGATTTTTCAAACTTTTTAATTAAAGAATATGGGGAGGAAGTAGAAAAGTTAATTGCTAGAAGAGATTTGGGGTTTGGTGGAAGTTTTGGGGGTGGCCAAGAAAATGAAGGAAATAAGTGAATTTTATTATTGTAAATTTTTAAAATCACCTTTAAAAATCACACAGACTTACTTATCAACCTAAAGACATAATAAGCAAAATTTTGATCCTTAAGTGAAATTTGGGAACATAAATGTTATTAATTACTCGGATAATTCTATTAATCCCTGGGATAAGTTGTAATGATTAGTTGGAATAATCCATGATTCCAATATTGCATTGGAAATATCTATAAAATTTAAAATGATTAGGGATCATATAAGCCTGGCAAATAAAGCAAAAACTAATAACGATCAGTCCTGGTAGGGATGTAGAGCGTTTAATAGCTTTACATGCAAGAGCTTTCATGATCAATTCTAATCCAATCTTAGCTACTTTTTATGAAAGGGTTGTCCACTTTACTATAATTGAAATAATTTCAAATAATTTTTCAAAATTTAAATTATAGACCTGTATCAAAAAGAAGACCAATAATCTTTGTTCATGGATTGACAAACGTTGCGGGAACATACGAATATATTCGACGTTATTTCCTCACAAAGGGATATAATAATTTTGAACTTTATGCAACGACATATTCCTATGGTGTTAAAAAATTTCTTAAAGATAAGATGGAGTGCAGACATATAACTCAGGTTAATATAACTCATCTTATTAATTAACTCATTTTTCTAAATTTACATTTTCTTTGCATTGGACATATAAACAAAATACGTTATCAACTCAGATAATTACCCCGTGTAATTATTGTTTCATCCCCTCACTGGAATTCACTCTCTCTCTAGAATTATTTTTTTATCGTCTCTCGGAATGAGCTCAATGAGCTCCCATTATTTACCAAAATGTTTTTTAGAAATTTATTTGGATTCCTGCCATAATTAAGTATAACAATAATAATAAATCTAAATAGGCACAAAATAAATTTTATTTTAAGATTCGTCTTCTGATCGAAGCAGTTTCTCGGTATAAAAAATCAAATATTGACGTTGTAGCTTTTAGTATGGGATCACCTATGGCAAGAAAAGTAATTTTAAAATATTAACAGACAAAATATTATCAAATTTCCTTCAAATAAATAGGCAATACTTGGTGGAATTTGTGTTGATACTGGACAATACCTAGGACAACCATTAACTAATTTAGTCTATACATTTATTGGAGTTGCTGGTGCTAATAGAGATGCCGAGCCTTTGTGTAAATTATTATCTTGGGCAGAACCTTGTAATTCAATAAATGGAATTTCTTGTAATTCTGCATTTTTGAGAGACATTAATTCAGTGTAATATTTTAGCTATAACTTTTTTTCCTTTTGAAGATAATTTGATAATTCATTTTTCCTGGATACCCGACATCTTAAGAAATTTTTTGATATCAAGAAATAAAAATATGATTAATTAATATTAAAAATATTTAGTGTAGTTTACGAGGCATTTTCACGAATTTCGGTAATTCGTTCAATAGACGATACAATTGTTGGTAATATTGCATGTGACGGACAGTCTGTAAGTTCAATTAATGGACAAAATGATGAAATTGTGGTTAATATTAACTAATTAAAAAAATATTTTTTTTATTAATTAATTTAGTTGAAGGGTTACTCTCACCCAATGATAATTTATGCAACTCAGGATATTATTTATAGAATAATTCAAGGATTGAAAAATTAGATTTAATATTAAAAATTCTGTCTTATATTATGATCTCAATTATAAAAAATTATTTTATTTCATAGTGTAAGGCACCTGAGTGCCAACCACCTCCAGACCCCAAGCCCTCTCTCACCAACACCAATCCCTTTATTATTTCCACATATTACTTCCGTAATATATTGTTCCTTCACCTTTAATCTTTCCTCATTCCTTCCCACCAATTATACATTCACCTCTTCACATGTTTTCCCAGATTATTCACCTTTTTAAATTTTTATTTTTATTTATCCAACCACGCATCTTCCCATTAATCATTGTACAACTCCATTCAACTACACAACCAACCCTGGAAGAGAAGTAAGATGTTCATTCGAAGATTAATTTTAATTGAGATGTTGAGATTTTTAGAAATAAAAAAAATCTCCCGAGATTTTTAGAAATAAGTAAATTTTTGATTTTTTTTCTAACATACATATCTTATTAGAAATCATTTAGACAAATAAAATCGGAAAATATTTGTCTCTGGCCAAAAAATAAATCAGTTTTCATGCCTCACAAAGTTTCTAGAATTTTATTACTTTTAAAAATAGTGTTTATATTTTTTTAAAATTTTCACATATTTTTTATATTCAAAAATTATTTTTTGAAATAAAATAAATATTCTCATTGTTTTTTCATCAATTAGACTTTAAAATAATTTCGATGAAAACATTGAGAAAAACATAATAATTAAAAGTTAAAATGACCTTGCTAAATTAATTTTTCTCATTTAACATCCATATGCACTTTAAAATGACTTTAAAATTGTATTTTGGCCTGATAATTAAAAATAAATATTTAAATAATTTTGTTAATTTATTAATATTTATTAGTGACTGGATCGAGACAAAATCTCAAATAAAAATCTCAGTTATCTAAATCAATGTTTTTCGAGATATCGTGTAAAATTTGTCGGGTTTTGTCAAGATCGTTAAT